TATTAGGTATGTTCACCGCCTTGAGTTATTTATAAAAATAATAAAGGTGGGATAAAAAAATTTTTTAAAAAACGTGGAGAAAGTGTTGGATGAGGTACCACACTTAAGTAAAGTTGGGGCCTCTTGACTCTCAACTGAGAAGTTAAATGATAAAGTAGTAATATCTCCTTGGAATCGAACTTAACTCTTGATGACTTCAGAGATATTTTCATGTACTTTTCTTGGCAGCAAAATGGAAGTGGCTTGCCATTGCCTTCTGCAATGCTTTTTTAGCCACTATTCTAGCCTACAGTTCTGGAATCTTGGTGGTCCTCCATCTAACCAAGTGGACCCTGCTTAGTTTCCCAGAGGCTGGCTTGGTAGTGCCATCTATTGAGTCACCAGAGGAGGAGACCATACCTGAAAGAGAGCAGTGAACTATCATGAAGGATAAACGCATAGATGTGTTGCAGCAAATCCAGCCTCATTTGAAGCTAGACAAAAATGTTTTCTCCAAACTCTAATCTTTGCATATATTTCCCTGTAAGCCTAACAGATTCATTCTTACAGGACATCCAACTGATCAGCACCATCACCTCTTCCTCCTCCAACTTCTCCTGATCCAGTTCATTATCTCAGGAAATAAATTGCTCCAAGCGAACTGTGACACGTGCGTGAGGGCGACTCTCAGGCTGCTGAGGCTATTAACGTTTAAGATGCAATTAGAAGAGGGGGTAGAAAATAGCTTTAGCAGAGCATTTCTCAGGCCATTAGTTTAAAGAATTTTCCACATAATTTCTCCCTGACATTCATAAGTAGAAAGGAAAAAAAAAATCTATTTCCTCTAGTTTGCTAAATGTAGCTTGATTCTAATCAGAAACAGTAGTGGCCATCTATTTCATATGCTCCATTACGTGATGCTTTTTCTCTAAGATATGACTATATACAAAAATGGTATTATTAGCAGAAGAGTTTGTCTCCAGATTTCTAAGGTTCTAGTCCTCATCACCCAATGATCTGTGCCTTTCTTCTTGACTAATTCTACCTTCATAAAAGCTATAAAATATGGTGGTCCTCCTTCCAAGAGATACACCATGGATACTTTTGAAATAGGAAGTTTAAAGATAACATCTTTTGAATATCTATGTCTTCAGTAATATTGTGATAGTAGACACCTATTCATGTAATTAATAAATTGATTCCAACTTTGGTAGAAATTAGATCCTTCCCCCCGCTTTAATATTCTTTATTTATTTATAGAATGCATAAGGCCACCCAACAATATATTACTCTGAGTGGCGTACATCAATAAAACAAAACAAAACAAAAGCCCAATGAAAATCAAACATAAAAAAAAATAAAAATAAACCAATATAAGCAAGCACAATCACACAGATAGCCAAGGCTGGGTATAACAAGCACTCACTCTCACAGCAGAATGGGTTCATTTAACATGATGTCCTGTTAACATCCTGGCCCAATGCATGGGAGAAAAGTCGGGTCTTCACTGTTCCACAAAAGAGTGATAGGATCAGGGCCAATCTAAGAATCTTGGAATGGGGGTGGAATTCATTCCAAAGAGCAGGCACAGCAACCAAGATCCCATTAGAGGACACTGCCTCAGAGAGGGCACCTACAGCCTGCCTACCCTGTACAACCTAGCGGGATGGGCAGAAATAGATGGGCATTCCCACAAATAACCAAGCCTTGTGTCACGTCAGAGCTGGCCCAAGCGACTTTATCTGAGAGATGCCTAGAATAATCCTCACAGGGGCCTTGTATTGTATGTGTTCTTGGGTCACCTTAAAGAAGGCCATGGGCTGGCAATCTATGGATGCAGTAGAAGTGGATAAATACTCAGGTTTCAATACTCTTTTTGTCATGAGGTAGTTCTTAACACGATGATGATGATTAGAATCAACAATAAAGATGCTGAAGTGGTGGATAGCTTCTGCCTTGTAGGATCAACCCTCAATAATAAAAGAACAAGCAGTCAAGAAATATGCCACAGACTAGCACTTGGTAGGGCAGCCATGAAAGCCTGGAAAAAGATATTCAGATGCTGTGATGTGTTTATACCTACAAAGACCAGAACTGTTCACAGGCCATGGTATTCCCTGTGAAGCTCTATGGAAGCAAAAGTTGGACTTTGAAGAAGCAGGATAGGAAGAGTATTGACACTTTCAATCTCTGATGTTGGACAAGGCTCCTGAGAATACTGTGGGCAGCCAAGAAAACAACCGATGGATCACTGAACAAATCAACCCAGAGTTCTCACTTGAGGCACAAATGACCAGGCTCCAATAATTGTATTTTGCAGACATTAAACCAAGACCCATCTTTTCTGAGAACTCTATAATACTGGGAATTAATGCAAACAAAGAGAAGAAGAGGACAACAGCAAGGTGGATGGACTTTGTCATAGTGGCGATGGGTGCCCCATTGGGAGAACTGAAGGACCAGCTTGAGGACACATCACCCTGGAGAAAATCTATGTGGTTGCTAAAAGCTGATTTTGATTTGATGGCACATAACCAATCAACATCCAGCCTCTGTGATTTGGTTTGTAATATGTTGTGTGACCCCAGCTGTATTCTTTATATTAAGGTTTAATTAACCCAGTGTTGCACACGCATAGTGGCTGGAACTGGACAAAAAGATTAAGTTCTAAACCATGGTTTACAGGGGCAAGGTTCATATGGCATACAAAACCAAAATCACTGGGTTTAGAACAATATGTGAACCCATACCCACCCACAGTTTATTTACTTGCAAAGCAATTCTTGGTTCCTTTTGACCAGGTGTTTGCAAAGCTCTGCTACAAGCCTTATTTGCACAACATTTTTCCCCAGATCCTAAATTAACTGCAGAAGCTGTGTCGGTACAACATACTGATCCACAAACAAGCAAACCACATTGATCTACTGGGTTGTGAGTGGTCTGTTCTTTCATCTGGATGTTCGCTAGATGGCAGGGAAGCGATAGAAAAAATACAAAATAAATAAATACAAAATAAAATACAAAAATAAAATACAAAAATAGTCATTGAGAGTCTGCTGGTATAGAAGTTATAATAATAACAACAACAAATGAACTTTTTGTTACTATCTAGTGATCATCCTAGCCAAGAAAACAAAAAAATGTACCATAAAACAAATCAATCCAGAGTTCTCACTCAAGGCACAAATGACTAGGCTCAAAATATCATATTTTGGGCACATTATGTGAAGATCCAGCTCTCTTCCAAGTCTATAATGCTTGGAAAAGTGTAAGGAAATAGAAGAAGAGGAAGACCAGCAGCAAGGTGGATAAACTCCATTATAGCAGTGATGGGTGCACTGTTGGAAGACCTGAAGGATGAGGATGGAGCCAGATTGTCTTGGAGAAAATCTGTGTGAGTGCTAAGAGTCAAGATGACTTGATGGCATATAATCAATCAAAAATCCTTAACAAAGGTTGTTATCCGTGTTTGGTTAGGTTCACTCTTCTTTTTCTGCCAGCGGAGCTCTAAGGATCTTTTCTGCTGTTTCATTTTCTGGAGCTTGTCCAAAAACCAGGAGACTCTCCTGGATGCACAAATACCAACAATCCACATAGGGACCATCTAATTGAAGGGCACCGTCACCCATTCATTTCAAGCAGCAACCAAAGCCTCAATCAAATTATACACCAGGACCTCAGGGACAATACCAAGCTCCCTCTGAAACCCAACTAGGTCCACAAGGTTCTTGGGGCAGACCAATTAAACAGGCCCTTCCTCTCTAAGGTGGGGTGCTGCCACAGAAAACTCCAAGGCTAAGAGGAATCTGTTCAAGGGAATAATAGTACCCCCACCCAAATCCAGATCACACTATAATTGCCCCAAGATAAAAAAAACAGATCTGATGTGTGTGGAGCCCTCGGTGACCTGGGTTAGGTTCATAGTTCCCACAATGGTCTTGAAAAGACCAAACTGCTTCTGACTCCATGCCCAGAGAAGGCAGGTTGAAATTCTTCAAGACCTAAAGTCTAGGGAACTACCAGCCTGGTTGTGGTGTCTAGCAGCTCAGATAAGGAACAGCTGGACAGCAAGGAGGCTGGTAGAGTAGCAACAATCTCATCTGATCCCTACAGTGGAACATCACAAACAGGCTTTCATATCCAGCTATCAGTGGAGCAGCACCCTGAAAGCTATGAGTTTCTGTTGAGGATGGAATATTAGATCTGTCTGAGCCCACCTAGGACAGAAATGGTAAGTGGTATTTGAAACAAATTGCTGCACTGTTTAGCCAGCCAACTTACCTTGCCCTCCTCCAAAATACTATATTCCATCCTCCTCTCACTGTCCATCACATTCTGTCAAATGAGGATGATATGGCCTTATTGGCCTGGATTTTTTGGGGGGGGGATCTTCCTTAAAGATTTATCTTAATAATTTTTCATACTACTGAAAATATTGGAATTTTCCTAAATCATCCACTGTGGCATTAATAGTGTAGTTTGGCTACTGAAATGATCTGTACTTGGGAAATGAGCTTGAAAGTTGGTATGCTCTTCCTAGGTATTGGACTACTATTCCCATTGCCTTTGATTACTGACCATGCTGGCTGGGACAGTCTGAAAAGGTCATTGAACCCATTGAAGGGGACTGGTTTGGGGAAAGATGGAAAGTAGAATGATATAAATAGTATTATAACCTTCTGGGCTGGCTAACAAAATGAATAGAATGGGGGGCTGCATTAGCTTACCTAGAAAGCCTTCTTCATCCACTATGACTGTGTAGTCTTCAGGTGTCTCAGTCAGACTGAAAAATTTGCACCTGGAAGAGAAAAGGAGAAAAAACATGTTTAGCTCCCAGTGAACCATCAAGATTAATGCATGCTTAATTAGAAACCAGACTTTCCAAATAGATCTCAGTGGGACCTTTCCTCTTGTACTGTAGATGAGCTCAAGATTACAGCCTATGCCTTCCATGTGATGGACATTTACTTGAGAGTAAATTCCAAGAAAGAAAATGAGAAGCAGTCCTGACTAAACTTGTATAACATTGGGCTGCAAGGTTTTTGTGTGCGTGTGCCTTCAAGTCAGTTTTGACTCCTGGTGACTGCCTGGACTAGTCCCTGCAGTTTTCTTGGCAAGATTTCAAAAGTGGTTTGCGATTGCCTGCTTCCTTGGAAAAGAATCAAGTTAAGTTAACTTTAAAGTAAGTCTGCAATAGATTATTTTCTTACAAATGCACCTTTAAAAACACATTTAAGCAAAGAGTATTCCAGCTAGTTACACATTATTCAAAAAAGAGATTACACATTATTAATAGGATGTTTTTAAAGGGTTATGTGAAGGTGACACCTTGCCCACATTCTTCTACACACCTAAATTTCAGCTTGTTCCACTGGTTGCCATTCTTGGGAAATGACTGCAGAACTCTACACATGCTCAGGAATTCATAAAAGCCAACCTGCTCCTGATGTGAAGGTAATGTCTACTCTCCCTGAACATGTAAGCTTTTTCTTATTTTTTATTTTTTAAAAATGGAGACTAATCTTTGTGGTGTTCTGTGAACCCGATGAACTTCCAGAGAACATCATTAGCTCTAATGATCTCTGAACTGCTGGTGGATCATTCCTTGTCCCCTGTCAAAGAAGATGCCCCCAAATCTGCCCTCGCCATACACAATTGCTTTTCTTCCTCTGTAATAATGGTAAACACTGTGCAAAACCTTTCCTTTGCTTTTCTGATTAAGAATTTCCCAATTGCTCCTGCAAGACACAGAAACTCATTTTACAAGGTTCAGCAAGAAGTCACTCTTGGGCCGCAGAACTGTCATAAAAGCAAGCAGACATAACAAAACAAAATATTGCCAAGATGATGAGTTGGGGAAGGCATCATGGAAATCTTGAATTAGATAGATGCTATTGTGCTGGGATGACCAAAAAAAAAAAAAAAAGTGGATCTTTTCTAGGTGATTTTCTGCTTTTCTTTATTGCATCAGCTATTTATTTTATTTTATTTCTGTACCACTTACCATTAAAAGCATCTCAAGGTGGTCTACCATAAATATCAAACAATTAAAACAGATATTAAAACCATTAATGAAAGCATATATTACAACCCTTTATAAATGTACAAAACAAAATCAGCAATAACGTAAAGAACAGAGTAAAAACAGGAATACATTTACAAATCTATCTATCTATCTATCTATCTATCTATCTATCTATCTATCTATCTATCTATCTATCTATCTATCTCACCACCCACATACTCCCTGTTGAAGGGTAAATTCCAAGGTTCCTGTTCTGCTTTTTTAGATCTCCTGATCTTTGAACTAGGCAGCAGTTTAAATAGGGGGCAGTTAACCACTTCTATTGCATCAAATAAATAAATAAATAAGTGTTGTTGTTTTTTTACATGGTGGCATTCCCATTGTATAAGCAGCTTCTTTCTACATTTTGGAAAGGAAGGAGAGGACTGTGACGGTCAAGATGTCCTCTAAGCTGTGGATTTTGGCCTAGTTAGCATGTTTTGAAAGCATGTTTACTCAGAAGCCAGACCCAATGTACTGAATGGGATTTACCCTGGACTAAGTGAAGATGGGTTCTACAGCCTTAATCGCCATTTTCCCCTCCTCCTCTTGTTGATTTAGTTGCAGCAAGGAAGGATTTCCTGTTTTCAACCACAGTAGGAGAAATTAGAATTTAGCTGCGGAAGATGTTCAAGAAAAATATGAGAAATTAATTCACAGATGAACTTTAGGTCCCTATCAGAACAAACATCTGCAGGAAAGAAATGGGTTATTTTCACCTTTGAGCTCAGCTATCATCTGAAGATCAGGAATTCCTTCAGTTACACATCTTAGCCGAAGACTTAGTTTCATTCCTCAAATAAAAACACTACAAGTCAAGCTATGGAAGAGATCTAGGAAACTTCGTAATTTCCTTCACACTTGCTCATATGCAGCTGTGAGTTCTGAGAAAGTACTTGAGAAGCGAACTGTGCTGTTTAGGATGCTTCCATGCATAGGAGGCAACCACTGCTTTTGATAGAACATATGGCGAAAAGGGACCATCACACACTGCTCTGTTCTATCTGCTTTTGGGGATATTAGTTAATCTGACTTGCTAGTGGTATCCACCATTATTTTTTCTTCTGCCTGCATGAACAGGAAAGGGCCACACAAAAGATCAGAAACAACACTTTGTTTTAACCCAGGAAACAATGGTTAATTTATGAAGATGTCTCAGATTTACATCGTTCCTTGTTCACCAATGATGGCCGTTGAGTCTTAGCATGATTGATTACATTGGCTTTAACATTTGGACTTCTACATCAGTAGTGAGCGGACTTCAGAGGTGCAAAATCTGTTTTTCTTTTACTGATAATTCCAAGGTCACCCACATGAAGTCTGACATGTAGGACATATATTGGGTCTGCACATCATTTTAAGTTGGAGGTGCACAGCCTGACAAGCCAAGTGGCACAGTAGTTAAGGCGTTGGACTGGCACCAGAGAGACACAGATTCATGTCCCCCATCAGCCATAGAAGCTCACTGTGGGTTGACTTTGGGCCAGGCGCTCTCATTCAACCCAATAGCCAGTATGGTGTGGTTAAGGTGCTAGACAAGGAGTGGGAAGACTCAAGTTTTAGTTCCCCCTCATCTATGGAAGCTCTCTTGTGACTTTGGACCTGTCATTCTCTCTCAGCCAAACTTCCCTCACAGGACTGTTGTGGGAAAAACAACAACAGGAAGACAGAGTGGTGCATGTGCCGTCTTGAGCAGCTGAAAGAAAGATAGGATATAACTCTGATGAACAATTAAATAATTAGCTAGTGCTGCAAAAGCTGCCTAAGAGAAAGATTCTTAAATATAGGTCTGAAGACCAATCATACTATTTATATTTAAATTAAAATGCATATGATCTTTTCAAAAGTTTTTGTCCATTTTCCATGGCACTGTGAGTAGAAGACAACCAAGTGAAGGCTGACAGTTTTAACTCAAAAGGGCAGGGATGCACAATTTCTAAAACCTGGATTGACAGCACACCACAGGAAACTGTTCTTTACTTAATTCCTGAGTAATAATTTCTTAGATTAGCAGACAGCAATTACTAATGCATTATGCATCTTTCAGTGAGTGTTTAAAAACTATTTTAAGTTCCTTTCTCCCTTTTCATATTACACAATTCACTGGGTGATGTGACAAACGTTCACACAGCCCAGTATTTTTCCTTCCAATTTCTCTAGAAAATGAATGCTCTCTTTCCTTTAATGTTCAAGTAAGCATATTTATGCACGCTGCCCAGTTGATGGTGCTGTCAGGGCAGGATTTTGGAGCAGAAATCTGGTATCTGTTCAACAGAGTGAGCAGAAGGTCTCCAAAATGCAGTATAGCAAGCTTCCTTTTAAGTAACCTTTAATGTCACTGAAGTAATATGTGTCATTGTTGCCCAAGAACAATAAAAATTAAAGGAAGCCTCCATTATGGGTTAATCATGCCTCCTTCTCCAAAACTCCAATGAAAACTTGAGTTTACTAATTATTATGGAATAATCACTGTTGGGGTGGTGGAACTGGATTTGACTTTGTGGAAAAGGACACTCTAAAAAAGAAGATTCCTCATTACAGGTAGTCCTTGTTTAGCAGTTACGATGGTGATGAAAAAGTAGCTTTATGACCAATCCTCATATTTATGATTTTTGTAGGTCTGTAAAGCAAAGGAAAATTGAAGTAAGATCATAAGCGCAATCATGGTTTCACTAAGCGACCACTTTGCTTAATAACCAAGTTGCTGGTCCCAATTGTGGTTGCTAAACGAGGACTACCTGTATAACATTTCATTGCAGGACCTTTTATAGAATATGAACCACAAATTAAAACTCAACTCATCCTAGAGAATCAATTTAAGCATGCTTGACATGGTACAACCTAAAAATTAAGCTTCGGATGGCCTATAGAAGGCCATAAAAAAAGATGAAATGGGTCTTCCCAGGCAGCGAGTTTTAGATCTTAAACACAGCCAATAGATAGAAATCTGCTTGAATTTGTGTCTTATTGCCTTTTTCCTTTTTGGTTTGAGAAGATGCTTAGATTGGTTTGGGTATTGTGCTTTTCATATACTGAAATGTCTGCAAAGTGCTTTGAATTTGTGTCTTATTGCCTTTTTCCTTTTTGGTTTGAGAAGATGCTTAGATTGGTTTGGGTATTGTGCTTTTCATATACTGAAATGTCTGCAAAGTGCTTTGAATTTGTGTCTTATTGCCTTTTTCCTTTTTGGTTTGAGAAGATGCTTAGATTGGTTTGGGTATTGTGCTTTTCATATACTGAAATGTCTGCAAAGTGCTTTGGATAGATATTTTTATAGTCTGTTAGGCTGGGGGAGGATGCATATTATTTTTCAACATAATAAAATAAATACTCCCACTGCCAAAATAAGTGGAAAGCCCACTTATCTCAAACATTTCTAAAGCTACCCTGCACTTCATTGGGATGATCTCGCTTTCCAACATTCTTAGAAGGTTCTTGAGTCACCTGTGGGGTTGCTGATGTTGTATTGTACATGCACAATAAGCATCTGCATCTGGGAGAGGAAACATCTGCATCATTGAACAACTGGTCTATCTGTGGTCAGCAAACTGAATGCCATAAAGGGAGTCAATCCTGCAGATTTAGACAGAAATTTCCACTGCTTACGGAAATGGATAACTCCATTTGCCAAGTGTGATAGTAACAACAATTCTATAAGCCCTCAAAGCTTTCTGAACTTAGGGTCTTCTTCTAAATGTATTTTACCTTCTGGAATCCTCTGCCCCCTTGGCTAT